TTTGTTTTTTGACTAAATTCTAAAAATAGTATTTATAGATACTTGAATGTTTTCCCAAATACTTATATTAGGATTTTCTTAACATGTTATAGTATTTAAAATATTTTAACTGTTTTTATAGAAATTTTAAATGTTCGGCTTTTTTCTTTTACATGTTATTATTATTATGCTATATCATGGAAATGGTAGCATAAGTGCCAAGCGAGTGGGTGGGTTTATCATTTTTAAAAATTGTACTGATCGGCGGTACTTTTATATCCACTGTACATAATTATTACATTGTTATATACTAATTTGATTGGTAAAAAACAATAATTATTTATTAAAAAAAAAAAACAATAATATTATATAAATTTGTTTCATGAACAAATATGATATGTAAATTATACGATTTATGAAGATAATGAAAATGTTACTATATTTATGAACATATTATTATGTCTAGAAAACCTGAACACAGTTTAAGACTTTGTTGTACTACGAAAATATTACAAACTATTCATTGGCCAGAGATGACACAAAACAATATATTATTCGTCTCATTCCATATATTTTAATAAAGCAATACGCCTTACTACACAATAAGACTACACGTGACATATATTCTTATTTAGTTTCATCGGAAACCACGTCTGTCAATTTTTGTACGTTAGTGAACAAACACGCCAAACACAAAGTATTCCGGGAAAATAGTCAGAAATATAATAATATTTCATTCACTTTATGCATGTTGTTTAAAAATATAAAACGTAGTATAGGTATACTATATTATATAAGCCAACAAAATTCATTTTTAACATTAAATTTAATATTTTTTGTCAAAGAAATAAAAAAGACAGATATATGTGGGATGAATACAAACATGTTTGAAAAATTATCTTAACATGATTTATAATTTGAGTTGAACTAAGAAAATATACATACTACTATAATATAAATTAGAAAATATTACATTTATTTAATAATCATCCGTTTTCTTAGACTTGCAGAATTTCAAACATACATGATGGACAATTTGTGTTCAGCAGAATCAATTTTGGGTTAGTTTTAATACTTAAGTGACCTACTATATCAGGCTTTAAGATAAGAATATTATCTGTGTTTGTTTGTTGGTTTTTCAATACATTTGTAAGGGAGTTATGAGTAATGATACTAATGTAAGATATTACAATTCAAAAATGCACATAACTCGCTTAAAAATTGCTCTTACTCATAACTTGTTTACACGGAATTAATTCAAGTGATTTAAATAAAATAATTGGCATGTGGAGGGTGGTAAAAAATAAAGTATTATACTCAAAAAATGTATGACTGTTTTTTCATACATTTTATGTATGAATAATATTTTCATGTATCAACTCCCAAGATGATAAAAAACAAGTGCTCTTCTTTAAAAATGTAATAGAACAAATTTCTACTTTCCATTCAATAAAAAATTGTTCGGGAAATCCCTCTAATGACCGAGGGAAACTTAAAAAAAATGCATTTTAAGGAACTTAAAGTACATCATTTATTCATTTCTATACAAAAATATTTAAAAAAATGTTAAATTGGATTGTTCCTATTAATTTCAAGGTCTTAACCGGGAGGTCTATGGGTAGAGAATTGTATTGAAAAGACGTATAAATATCTAGGCACGAAATTTATTGGCTAACATTTGCGTTTGATGTAGGTACCTATTAGGTTTAGTATATTAAAAACATTATGAATCCCTTGCTGATATGTGTCTTAAGTTATGCCAGTTATAGTCTTAGTCTAAGACTCTTAGGTATAACTCTTAGCCATACAATATTGCAAATGAAACACACTACATAGGTACACAAAATTGTTTGAAAAACTTGGGAAGTTTTTTTTTAATCTAAGAAGTTAATATGAAAAGCTTGTATAATAACAGAAATTCTCAGTTCAAAGTAAAAATAAGATTTAATATTAAACTTCAAGAAACTGTACGTTCGAATGCATATAACACACATGCATTGCACATTGAATAGGTACAATACTTACAGACTACAGTGGAATAACTAAAATAGTAAACTGAGTTATGTTATAATAAACATTTATACTTATATAATATTATGTACCCGCATACAATGTTGCTTATAGCGATATAATTTTGCATAACGCATATATTTTTAGCGATAGGTGAATCGCAATAATATATTATCGGATAAACTTATTTTAATATTAAATAAATCTGAATATATAAAACAATTAAGTATTTGATGTCAACAAAATAACATATTTTTTAATAAAAATACAATTTCAGCGGAAACCGTAAGTAATAATTATAGGTACTTACAATAATATTATATCAATAATTGAATTAATTAATTAACATGTTTTACATTTTTGAAAGTTCGTTCATATATAATACATACGAAGTGCGGCAAAAAAGACCAATGAAAAAAAGCCCGGAAAAAAAATTTAATATAAATGTGAACATATGACGTATTCTCTGCTCCTAATTAGTAATTACCGAGTGGAGTGTACCTATAATAAAATATAATATTTTATAATGAAAATAATGAAAATAATTTCATAAATTATTATCATGTGAAATTTTTGTATAAATGTAGTATGTATATTATACGTAAGACTGATGTTTTTTTACTATAATTTTTAACTAAAAATATTATATTACCACCTGTTTTATATTATCTTATTATGTCATTATTTTTTATAAAGTTGTGACATATTTTTGTATAACTGTAGTATGTATAATGTTTATACCTAAGATGTTATACTTATACCTCAGATGTTTTTGTGGTAAAACTTATTATTATTTTTTATTTAAGTTACCAATATAAAATTATTATAGCTTGACTTATAACTTATAACACTGTATATTATGTATAGAGAAGTTCACATTTATATTTAATTTTTTTTTTACTATTACAAGTTATTTTATATAATATATAAGTAATAGTTAAGCATACTGCATAAGCCATATTCAGACATACAATTATTTATTTTTGAAATTTTTCATTGAATAAAATAAATAGGTAAAAAAAACGTTTCTTATTAATAGAGTATCCGTATATAAAATTTCCTATGTTGACAATAATAATTTATGAATTATTCATTAATAATTAGGAGTAGAGTATAGATACATCTGTTCACATTTATATTAAATTTTTTTCTGTGATTTTTTTTCCGTGGGCTTTCTTTCCTTGGACTTTTTTTCCACCTACCAATAACCTATGTGCGTATAGACATTTACGTGAACATTTTCAATAATAGAACTATTGCATTTTATTTAAATTTTGCATAATAATTGTTTACTAGGATAATTCGTAGTAAAATATCAACACATAATACTATTATATATAACCATTAGATACATTTTTAAGTAACTTCTTCCCACTACCAGAAACTATTGTTTATGTAAATATATTTTAAGATTTTTATTAATTCATAAACGATCATACTTAATAGTTAATACTATTAAGTATCTAATTGATAAATAAAAAACATAAATATAATAATATGTAAGCACCTATTTAATTAATAATAATAACCAATAATTGTATGTTATTACTTATTAGAAATAAAAGAACCGGAACATACACCATACTAATCTCGATAAAAAATTAGCTACCTATAATACTCTTTATGACTATATAAATATATAATTAATAATTATATAATATATATAGTTGTTTTGTAGATTGTGCTGAATGTTCACTGCAGTTTCCATAGTTAAATACATTAAATAGAGAATTATTTTAGTGAGATTTCATGCTGCGAATTCCATGTAATCAAACAAATACCACGAGACACGTCCACATTGTATTTAGAGATTCAAAATAAATCAATAGCTGAGTCCACTCTTCACCTGTCCTGTAGATACTTTAATACAATTTCATATTTATACGTTGCTTACTTTGCACACTACAGTCACCTTATTACTCTGAAAACCATAAGATTCCGACCGACTTAAAATGTTAACTTTAGACTTTATGTTCAGAGTTCTGATGAACCATTTAGTTTTTGAATTCGCGATTTAAATATAGGTACCTAGTGTACACTACACATTGTCAGAACTTGTCGAAACCCGTGCTGGTCGATGAACGTGTAAAGGACAACCGATTTCCGAATAAACACGCATACATGTATAATAATATATGTATATTTTTTAAGTATTGATTGTATTTGAAATACACGGAATTTCATGAAGGCAACACCGCACAAGAATAATGTACAAGAAAAGAATAAAGGCCATCATTTTTTCCGAGAACAATATTGAATATACAATAGAGACGCCGAGAAAACAGTTATGTATATACCACTCTTCCGCAGGGTACCTACCTATAGTTGCGAATAATGGTTGATTATTTTTTCAGCGTAGGTACCTACCTACCAAGAAGCCACAATGCAAGACGCCACTGCGCCACTATCGTGTACTTATGAAAAACCACAAACAATATTACTATTTGACGTCCGTTCATACCGGTTAATTCGCATACACATTAAAATATATGAGATCATTCCACGTGGGGATTAAAACCGTGTGGGGGTCTCGCAGCTTATACCTATATGGTTATACTCGTACCTACCAATGTGAAGTCGGTACCTGACAAATTTACAGTACCATCAATCAATAACCATTAAAGTGAATTTTAAATAGTATCGTTTTTATTTGCTATTACTTACACACATATAATATTCCAGGGTCGTAATAACTGATACAAATTTCGGGGGTCTAAAGTTTTTTTAAATAAAATATAAATTTTTATATTAAATTGGTTCGAGAAAGACAGTGTGTGAACTTCAGTGAAGTTACATTATAATGCACAGTTTACATTCGACGAATCATCGTCTCGATTGCTAACTACGGTGAGCACTAAGTAATGGCAATTGTCAATGGACAACAGTTGTGGAAAATCGACAAAACTATGTACTAACGAGGGTACTAATTACGTAGGCATAATATATTATATTATGCACCATATGGGGACACAGCGCATTAATTAATAAGGGGCATGTATTTGGATACTTACCATTCGAGACTGAGATACCTCTCGCCACAACAGTGAAGCGTCTTGAATGAGTTGAGGGGCCCGTACTCGGTGGTGCTCAGTTCTTTGGTGAACCGAACGCCGGAGTCCAGTCGCTGTGCGTCGTCGACTTCTGGGAACAAGTTTTCGTCACAGTACGCAGCAGAACCACCTCGGACGACGGACGCGGCGGCCAACAACAGCGGTAGGCTGACGGACATTTTCGTAAATCGCGATTTCTGGACTAGAACGGAGACGAAGAGAAGCGGTAAAAGCTGTAGTTTCAAACGAAACACAGAACTGTGGTTGGACGTGACATGGCACGACGGTTACGACGACAATAGCGACACGTGAAAGAACAGCGACCGACACGCAACACACGACGTCGTCAGTACACACCACACTGGTGACTGATCGTAGGTCCGTCGACTGTCGTAGTAGCCGCGGACTCCGTCGTGGAAGCCATCGGCGCGCGATCACACTAAAACCGCTCTCCGATTCCGCTCACTTCCTCCACGCCGCCAAGCCTGTACCGGGAGGTAACTACGGGTGATCACGCTTGAAGAGGCGGGTATCGGTCGGCCTGGTTGCGCGCGCGCGGGCCATGTTCCGCCACCGTCGCTGCCGGCCACCAAACAATACACGAACACACACTTTGTATTTTTAATTTTTACTGAGAATTCAACTCCTGCCCACTCATCGTGCATACAATTCCCATGTTAATGACAACTATCGTCGGCATATACAACTTGTTGCCACCGCACAGCAACAAAGGGTTTTTGACTTAAGCTCTGGATTGTGGACAATAGAACTACATCACCTGCAACCGTCTGCTGTAGGAAGAATTTCATATGTAAAAGCAATTTAGCCAATAAGTATTAATTATTATTCTGGTTATTTTAATTTATATGTGATTAATCACTATATCTAGGCAAATATTATTTTATCACTTTTTTAAACTGTATATTATTTTATATTTTTCATAACATAACTAAAATTTTACCTCCTCCTGTACTTTTTTGAACTGGGTATCATTTTCGATTTTTATATGGTAACATATCATTTTAGTTCTAAATTCTCAAAGATTATTTTTCTGAAATTATTGATGCGCATAATCATGGCGTATACTATTAATAAATTATACCGGTTTATAATATTGGATATTAGATCAGTTAATTAACACAAAGTTTTTGGTCCATTATCTTTTATTATAGATGTATAAATTGTATTCATTGTATTTTTATATTGTATGATTGAATCGATTCTTTAAGCTAACTAGAGTCTTAACTCATTGTAGTTAGATGTACTACAATGAAGTATAATTGACCATCTATAGGGATAGTAAATATGATGACTGATGTCATTGAATGTTTCTGAGAAATGAAGAGGATAATACTGTTGTATATTACAGTATGATAGCATTATGCTCCTATTCAGAATTGTATATCCTTACCGACTGTTATAATTGGGACTGGGGAGGAGTGAGTAGTGACCTATAGTCGATTAACTAAATTACATTGGAAGAAAATGTATTCAAAGTTCAAAACTAACTTACGGCCAAACCTGAATATTTCACTACACAAGGCCTTTGTAATTTGCTAAGTTTCATTTTAATATATTAAGCCATATTAAGATGGATTATAAATTATACTAACCAAATTATGAAGCAAATTGAACTCATTTCACAATAATGCGATTAAATAGTATATCTACTCTTGTGGTTAATTTGAATACATATACCTAACTATAGTATAATAAATATATTATACCTACTTAAGATAAGAATATCACTTTAATATAATGTAGCAGAGTATAAAATGAATATCTATGTATTACAAATAAATTTACATACTTATTAAACATATAAGCTAAAATAAAATAGTTAGAACCATCATGTCGTCCTACATGGATTTATTATATATTATGTCGGGGACGCCCGTAGGAGGGGGCTAGGTGGTGCAATGCACCACCTGAGGTTATATATACATATATATATTTTAAATAACTTGAACTTTTTAAACAAATAATAAACATTTATTTCTTGTTAATTTCTTCCCAAGATTATGATCAAATAGTGGAATTATTGAGAAACTGTTGCACTCTGGTATTGACAGGTACAACCAACAGCCACGAAAGGACGGAAATACAATTGTGTTTTAATTTTACTTAAGTTGACATCATACTAAATTAGATAATCGTGATGTCTAATATTATATTATTATTATTATAATCTACTTTATACACCGTAGTTGAGCTTGAGTGGTCACTGGTCGATATATTTTATATTTGACATCGTAGCTGTGTTTGTATTTTGATTAATAAATTAGTGATTGTGTAATATTTAACCAACAAAAATTAGTTATTTTTTAATACCTCATTTTATTATACTGATCATTGGTGTGTTAAGATTTTATATTATAAATGTAGTGCTAAATGGTGTGAGCCTTATGACTTATATCGCCACAAAAACTATTTAGTCTTTGGTGAGTTAATATTCTCTACGGGCGCGCATGATATATGTTTCAAAGGTAATCGGAAAAAAAATCCCTGGAAAAAAAATCCCCGGAAATAAAATCCCCGTTAAAAAATCCCCGGTAAATAAAATCCCCAGAAAAAAAATCCCCGGAAAAAAAATCCCCAAAGCAACTATTTAAAAAAGTACATAATTATAATTAGTAAAAAATTTTAAAATTAGTAAAAATTAGATAATTAGAAAATAAGTAAAAAAAAAATAATATAATATTAGTTAGTTAATTAATAATAAAATAAATGTATATAATTATAGTCAGATTCGGTTCAGTCGGTTCGTTTTCTTATATTGTTAGACACAGCTGTCAAAAAGTCTCCAATGCTTAATTTATCTTCACTTTGTCTTATAACTAACTCTTTCAAGCGGATATTTATTGTTTGATTTTGTCCTCTTTTTGTACGTCTTGGTTCACCTAAAGCATCCAATGCTAACTGTGCTCGATCGGCGTCAATTTCATTTTTAATTTTCCTAATAAGTTTCCACATTGTAGGATGTTTTTGACCAACTAGTTTGGAAAACCTATTATTCCACCCTTCAACGATGTTGTTGGTTCTGTGGCAGTCATTGAGGGTGGTTTTATTTACATTCCACACAGCTGGTGGGAACATTGGTGGCAGTTTTCGAAACCTCATGTTATTTTCGTCGTTTCCAATTCTTCGATACTTGCCATTTACATAATACGAATCAAAATAATCTAATAAATCCATAAGATTTTCAGGCAAACTATATTTTAAATATTTCATTCCATCTTCTACGAGGTGCAATGGAAGGAATGCAAGTGCATCAATCATTCCACATTGTTTTCGAAACTCTTCATCCTTATGGTATTTCGAAGCAAAGCCCAATTCTTGTATTTTCCTGAACGTCGATTGACATAAGTGATAGAAGCAGCCTTTTATATCAATATGGACACCAATTACTTCTTTAGCTGCTTCAATAACTGCGCTTTCAAAATCGAGATGTAAACATTTGGGGTCAGGGTATACATTTCGTTCAGCACATTCATCCATTATAATTTGAAACATTTCTACGTATGTATTTTTAGTTTTCCTTTGTAAAATACAGTAAATCGTAGTTACAAATACATTATTTTTTTTTACCCGTATTACATATAACTGTAGGAAAAACTTTGGAGACAGTCCGAAATTCCCGTCTAAATACCAAGTATCTGATTCTGAAAGCAGTTGCAAGTGTTCATCTGTTGCAAATATAATTATCCTTTCAGATGCCTCTGGACCATTATCCCTCAATAATAGTCTATTATTACCCAATAATGCCCATTCACCTGTAATAAAATAGATATAATTTGTTAAGTATAGGATTTTATTTTCTAATTAATATAATTAAAAAAAAAAATTTACCATCAATAACAATTTCTTTGATATTTTGAGGTTCGTTCGGATTATGAAAACTTCGATGATATCTAATACTACGTTTTAAATATTCTTCCTTGGGTAACTCAGCTAAAACATCGACATCCAGATTCCCGATTACCTCCGAAAATATTTGGCCGGGTGTATCATTTGAGGATAAAGCTTTATTTTTTATTTCTTGTTTAACTTTTATGGCAGCTATAGCTATAAATAATAACAATTCTTATTTATATTCATTGGCGGAAATCTTGCGAACATAAAATATTTGTAGTTTTATATTTGTTTTTAAATTTGTTTGTATAATATTTTACATAATATTTTATAGGAAAATTAAAATTATAAGTTGGAACACTGTCCTATAGTGATTTATTTTATCGTCTGTCGAATAAAACAAAATCTGTAAAATTATATTCTGGACGTACTAATTGGTTACTAATTCAGTAATAGGTACCTACTTATCAAGGCCTATGATAAAATTGTTATCGACAATAATTTGTCGTGCTACATTAATTTATTAATTAATTAAAATTTGAGAACATATTTATAACACATAAATATATAAGTGTCCTAACTATATGTAAATTATTAAATTAAAATAAATCTTACCATTTTTATCGGCAGAATGATTGTGTTCATGGATCTCCCTTGGATTACTATTTTGAAGCGATGTTTTTAAAATGGCTAAACATTTAAATGAACTATATTTTGCACACCTCCATCTCTTGAAAAACTTACAGTCTTTTTGGTGTACATAAGTATAACCATTTAAGCAAATTTTATAGTTCCCTTGGTTAGATTTAACAATTTCCATAGTCGCATTGATTTCCATAGCCGGACAATTACGGCCTCGCACAGTCACACAAATCAAAGTTACTTAATAGGAACTGAAGATGTACTAACCGTAACCGTTATAATAACGTATAGATACCAAATATTACGTATTTTGAGTTATTTTGACTTGTATTTTCCCAATTTCAAATTTTATTGCTCTATGCCAAGGCCCACCCAACTAGCGGCCCGCGAACCTTTTTTATCTGTAAAATGCTTTCTTATTGCACACTAAATTTGTAGTACGAATGTACCGTGTAAATTGCAAGCCTCGATCTATCATTGTTCAGGCTCAACGTTTATCAGAGAGTGTCCAGTGAGTTAGTCAAGTTATATATTGGTAGTATTATAGTCATTCCGCTTTTAAATAGTTGCTTTGGGGATTTTTTTTCCGGGGATTTTTTTTCTGGGGATTTTATTTACCGGGGATTTTTTAACGGGGATTTTATTTCTGGGGATTTTTTTTCCGGGGATTTTTATTCCGGGATTCGTTTCAAATGCATACATAACGTTAAAAATTGCTAATTTATTATATTAGTTGTGAACTGTATTTGAAAGTATAATACTTACTTATTTTTAGTTCTAGACCTTTATGGCTTGATCTGGTTTTAAAATTATAATCTTATTGTAAATTGCAATTGAAACAATAGATACAATTATTACTTCTAAAATTAATCATACATGCGTTTGTCTTTATTCGGACCTCTAAATATAGTTACCAACCTTCACTGTTTAGTGTTTACGCAATATTTCGTATTTTAATGTAAATTATAAATACAATTGCGGCGTAACGTTGGTTTTATAAAGTGTGTAAATATTAGTCTACTAGTCTATTGTACGCAGGTGGCTAACAAATCTTTATAGATCTCATATAGCTGGGGATTTTATTTTATTTTACTACCGTAGATGTTTTTTTGAGTCAATCAGAACAACAATGTATAACGACATGGACTTTGACGTGGCCGCCAACGACATTTCCGAGCAGGTGGTTGTAATACGTGATCCCGAGTTGGCAATGACAATAGAAAAATGGGTGTTAAAGCTGACTGCGGAGAACCGGGGTGCGAACGAGCTTAAGTACCTTCAACTATTGCAGTACATGATGGCCCGGGGGCGGATCAACGGACCATTCGTGAGGGATCCACCGCCGGGTCCACTGGTGCCGTTAAGTCGGTACGTAAATCCGCCTCCCTGCAGTGGTCATGGCCGGAGCAGTGGCGGGGTCGAGTGTTGGCAGACGAGCAACTGCAGCAGAGCCGCGCAGACCAGGTGCAACGAAATGGATGAGTGTGACTACGGAGACCAAGAAATCGAAGATCGGGATAACGACGCTATCGACGAAGAAATGGCAGGTGACAGGTCTGTCCGCGATGATCGTGAGGCCGTTGGAGACTTGCATAGCAACGACGGGGAACTGCCACGCTTGGAGGAGATTGGTCCAGACAGCGGGGTGCAGGAAAAACGGGACGGTCATTTGGCGGGCGGTGGTGGGGGAGAATGCCGTGGCGGTGAGAAGAGCACCTCAAAGAAAAACCCGTTCGCCAAACTTTGTGACCCGTGTTTGGACAATTTTGGAAAGCACTTGCTTAAGAAACTCCCAGGACCAATGGATTCAGCTTACAGGGATTTGCTGGGAGACTGCGCACTGCCTGTGCTCACTGAAGCCGAACAGAAGACCGTCTGTCCGGAGATGTTGCAGATTTTGGAGAACGTCAATGACGCCACCACGTTACAAGACTTTTACTTCCAGGTGGGTGGATATATACGTCTTAAACGTGGTTTTGGGATAGCTGCAAGTGGACAACTTTCCCAAGTCACACGTCATTTATTGCTGTTGATCACAATGGTCAATAACTGAAGATAAATAAAACCTCTGACCTTCGACAGACGATGTTTATATATCAGTCATATTATTGTATACCTGTGTCCTGTGATATTTCTAATGATTTTAGATGTTTCGTTAGATACACAAACACAATACCTAACTATACAACACAAGCGTGAATATCGATTGACCTAAATGTCGGTTCCCAGAAGGATAAAAAATTGTTAATACAGTCAGCAGAGCGTTAAATCCTCAAAAGTTTGCACAGGGTTTTTTCTCTAAAACAAATTAAAAATATTGTGCGTCGTTGATTTTTTAGATTAATACGAATATACTTGGTGTTGAAGGTTCGTTAATGAAGCCCGCGCTTTGTTTTAATTGCACGCAATGGTTTATTTAGCTGTCGATTTTTCAAATACTATCCCATTGAGCAACGAGTTACAAGTATTATTAATTTACTGCTCTTGTTATTATTGTTAAATGTTTATTTATTCTGCCATTTGTTGCATTTCCATGTTAAATTGTTACAGTATTTTAACTTAAAAGTGAGTTAGGTATGCATTTAATTTGCGTGTATAATTATAATTTATATAATTCAAATGAATACTGTGCGTTTATCAGTTATCTGGATTATTTTTACATAGGATTGGCCTCTTCGCGTATGTGCTGCACTGCTGCTGGGAAACCAACAATTTTTTGTTAAAATAGCTATAATATGATTATTAATTAACAATAGTATTTATCTTCAGTTACATACTTGTATATTATTTTAATAAGATATAATATAATCTCAAGCAGCTCAAGGGAGGGAGTATGTACAACATTGTCCTCCTTGATTCCCCGACTATACAGGTACTAACCATATTACATATCAGTAATAATATTATAACAAACCAAATGTATAAAATAATTAATTAGTTAAATAAATATTGGACTATATACATTAATAATATTAAATTATGGGATTATTTACAGTTTATTAAAAGTATTCAATTAAAGCAATTACAAGCTCCATATTTTTTTCATCAAAATGCCTGACAAATATAAAGGTTAGGTACATTATTTGCGATGTATTCTTTTCGGTAAGATTCATTTAAAAAATATTTGATTTTATAAACAAATTTAGTTTGCTCTTTTTAGATTTTATTTTTCATACTTAAAATAATAATTATTGTTCAGTTATTTACTATTGAAAATAAACAATTTAATTTATTTATTCTACCATTTTATTCATGTAAGCAACTAGCCAACAATTGATAAACTGCTCCTATCTATGGAAAGTTAATTGATTTAAAAAAATTACTTCGTTTTTGAAATTAAAACACTGAAAATGCTTACATTTTTATCTAAGTAGGCAGTTTTAGAAATAACAATGACAAATATTGTACTTCTACGTGATAAAAAAATTATATTTTTTGTATCATATAATATTATAATATACTTTATGCACGATTGCCTGTAATCACAGTTAATTTCATGAGGATTGGAATTTCCGGAAAAAAGATACTCCAAAATAAACATAAATGCTCCACTTTTCTCGGAAAAAAAAATTTAAAAAAATATTATACTCTATTTCTATACCTTACATGTATAAATTAAAAATTGAAAATAAATACACACGAATACATAATTGTAATATTTTTAAATTATTAGTAGTGAAAGATGAAAACTGGATTTTACTGGGATCAACATTACATACTATAATATGCTAAATTTCTAATTTCTACTTTTATGGGCATCTTTTTTTTTCAATTTGTGTATTTTTATTTTTTGTATACTGAATACAATAGTGAAATCGGAATTCAATATTCAGCTTTTGTTTTGAAGCTAAAACGATTTCAAGTTAGTGGAATTGGTCCATACTCTATACGGCCAAAATATTGAAGCTTACTTTATTACTAAAATTTTTTTTGTTTTAAAATAACGTTCCAATCCTTTGTTTATATTTTTAATTGTGATTTTTTTACACTTTTGAATTATTTATAGCATAATAATTTTACATTTATGAAAACTCAAGCCTTAAGGTATTTTTAGAAATCTATCGTTGTAAATTTAATATTTTTTCCATATATTCTGCAACTGTGGGAAAATAACTATACGATGACTGTTAAAGCTTTTTATAATTTTCATTTATCAGTATTCAAATTTCAAATATCGTGATTAATTTCAAGGCTTATAAATAATAATTAATAATGATTTATTAATTATAAACCTTGATTAATTAATACAAACTCTTTGTAAATGTTATATATTATCAAAATATTAAAACTAATTAATCATGAACCACCTCTGCAACGAGGTTTTTTTTTTTGAAGCATTGAAATAAACTGAATTTTTATCGATATAAAATAATTTCCCATGCATAACCCCTTAAATTGACTCATTTTCAGGGAACTTGGCTGATAATTTAATCCTCATGATGCTTACTATGTACTACCTATATAATAATATTGATTTTTATAACACATATTGGTACAAATGTGCAATACAGATACATATTACACATTACCAGCTTAATCAACAGACATGCTCGTCTGCGTTTTTCTTTTATAATGAATTTATTGATTTTTTTTAAGTAGGAAGTGTAACCATGTAGGTGTTATGTACACAAATTATATCACACCATTTTTATCTTTCAATTCGTGAGACAGTACAGGATATTGCAAAGATTAATTGTCAGTCACCTTATAATATTATACATTGTAAAAATGAGTACCATATATTTACAGTTTTTTATATTTTTAAATAGTTACTTACATTTTTATGCCATTTAAAGAATGCTGGGTGGTAAATTCAAATTCCTTTTTTTTCGCCTTTTTACTGTAAATTTAAGCAATTATTTTAAAATGATGATGCTTATAAGTCAAAATTCGAAGTAGTCTTAGAATTTTTAATTGCATGTAAATTGTATACTAAAGATGATAGTTCATGATAATGAGTTTAAACTTTAAAGATACGGAGACTATGATGATTTAGAAATATTATATTAATTAATACTACGTATGGGCAATAATATGAATATTTTAAATTTTTTTTCAACTGTTTGAACAAAATACTAGACTAAATATTAAAACTATTTTATATATGTTGAAAAACAATTGTTATTATTAAGAACCATTGTTTTTATAATATACATTTTAATATCTCAGAAAGTACTCAATTGAATTTCTATTTAATTCCATAAAAAAAAGGTTGTTCTGAATTCGGAAAAAATATTTTTTTATTGCCACCGCAGTATAATTACGAATAATCTGATTCACCAAAATTATAGTAATTAGGTAGTTTACTTGAGAATACATGTACTACAAAATTCCAAAAATCTGCAGAGTTTGAACAAATTATAAATGTACATTTTTTTATGGGGATGAGTAAGCTTGGTGAATCATCAATCACCCTGCAATAATATTATTATTTAATAATAATAATAATGTACTTACTGAACTGCACAGGTGGCGCTTTGCACGTGCGACCAGGGCGCGCTATTGATGAAGTTATCGGACGCCATGGTGGACGACTTCAGAACGTTCGTGTCCGACGTGTTCGAGAGCCGCACGGAACACATCAGCGACGGTTTGGCCAAGGAGCAGATGGCGCTGTGCGAAAAATACGCGTACCTGTACGACCGGACGTTGAACCGGGCAACGGTGGCTCTGGATTTCCTGAAGGAAGCTATGCCAGTGTTCAGCTGGCACAAATACCAGGCGGAACCGGATGAGTTCTTGAAGCGGACGATACTGCGACGGGCGGCGGTCGTGGCCGCATCATCCGGGGACGCGGCTGCCGACGGCGACGGAAGTCCGGCCAAACCCGCTCCGGCTACCGACGACGATATCTTAGCGGCGGCCGGCGGAGAGGACGACGACAGCGCCCAGCATTTGGTCACCAAGAAGCTGCTGTACAGGATCAACTGGTTGCGGACCGAAGTGAGTCGGGTGGACTGCGAGGGACAGCGGCTGTCCGAACAGCACAGCGAACTGACGGTCAGCCTGGCCGACCTCAACCGCCGCCTGTCCGACGTCCAGTGCCGATCGTCCGGCGACATTGACCGTCACAAAAACGAACTCACAGTGCTTCGGAAACAGTCGGCCGACCAGACGGCCATCATCGATCGGCTCATGGAGACCATACAGTTGACCATGCAGGACAAGCAGCCTTCGTCCGCCGGATGTTAGTAGCTCCCGCCGTGACGCCGCCGACCATGATTTATTTTAGTGTCCGCTTCCCTGTACCAGCTGTATTGACCATTTCACACGACTCGTCCATGTCTACTATACATAATTTAATATTTTATTACTTGTGCTTTCATTTTTTAATCATATCTTTTAACGTTTATCGTAAATCATAATATAAATCCGTCCGTCAAAATCACATTGATTTGTTAAAAATATAAATATTGTTTTTATGTCTCTGTACCTACACTAGTATAAGTACTAATTATAGTAGGTACTAGTTTAAAACCGTTTACCTAATCATCTCCCATAGTCCGTCCCATGTATTTAGGCTGTTTGGTTCTGTAAAATAATAACAACATTTTACGAAATAAAATTAAATAAAAGAATTGTGTTACAACAAATCGAATAAATATTTGATTTTGTGGTAAGCCATAGTAGTACACCACATATAATTATTCTCTATACACTATGCATAATAGTATAATATACAAACATAATAAGTTATTATGCTTTTTAATATTCATGAAAAAATAATAAATATTATTAATTAATAAACAGCGTGTCTCAATACTGACATATAGGTACTAACACCTACCCGCCAATCCGAGCAAGGGGAGCGGTCGCTCTCCTTGGTGCATGGGTTCGGAGCAACTGGGCCATGCTGATAACAATATTTGGGTCAATGTAAGCTTTATACAAACAAAAGCTTTAGTTAATAGGAGCTTTATACAAAATTGAAATTTCTGAACACTTTATATTATAATAATGTACGTATGCTAGACGGAGACAACACGTCATGCAGGTGTCATCTTAATATTAAACAATAACACATAAAAATAATAATAATACAAAATGCATAAATATTTATCATTTAATAATAACATATATGCATTAAATATTATTGAGGTTTTTATGGAGTATCTATACTCAAAGTCTGATCATTTTAATTCATCTAAATTCATCAACAATAAAATGTTCATAATTACCATAACTTCCCACATGTCCAAGTTGTATTATATTATTTGGAGCAGATTCATTTGAGCTGAAATTCTAATACTGTTGTTCTGACGAATAATTCTCCATAAGTGTATTGATTACGTAATAAGAGATTATGAAGGCAGCAGGCAAATAATACGAGATAATCAATGATTTGTGTTTTTAGTGGTACGAGGGGTGTAAAATACTGCGAATACCTGACTTAAAAGTTCAAAACTGTTTCTGCCGTTAACAGAAATTAATTATTTTTTTCCCAAAAAAATCTTTTGATAGTTATACCATGTCATCTTGGGTTGATGTAGGTAATAAAATTGGTGGTAATTGATCACTTAAGTTTTGAGAAATACGAATAGCAAAAGCTAGGGAACGAAAAGATTCACCTGTCGACATACACCTGTTAAAAAAATATAAAATTATAACAATATTTAAATTTGTTGATGAAGATTTGGTGTTATATTTAAAACATAAAATACATTAATCAATCGGCTTAGAATCTAAAACAACATTTAGTCCATACAAACGCAATTTATTTTTTAAAAATTGTGAAGTATATCCAAATTATGTAAGGCTTTAAATTCAATATTAAAACAATTTTAAACGTGCATAAAAAATGTATTTTTCTTCCCAGTATATAGTTTTAGATTCTGAGCATAGCGAATGAATGTATATTGTGTTTGCAATGATGTGTTGTTTTTTTTTCTGTCCCTTATCATCATTTAGGGCATAAATGCTCCGATTTTAGACATCAGCATCTTTTCTGATAGAAATGTTAATAGAAAATTCCCAACTATTTCCCTCACAAACAAACAACTACTGTACAGCACAGCGGTTCCCACTTCTCCACCTTTTTTATAGTTTAATATAGAAAAACTTATGAGGTGTATCTTATATTAAATATTCAAATCTTAGATATAAAAATGAAAATGTTATCCAAATGTTCGTGATTTAGTCTGATTTAGACGAATTTTGTCAACATTTTCAATTCAAACGCCCGTAAAAAATGATTAACCTTGCAATAAACTTTTAAGTTTTTTGACTTTCCACACATTTTTTATCGACAATAATTTTTGAAAAAACCAATAAAAACGACATTTTCTTATGTACTTAAGAAGCTTTAAAAGAGTCGAAATATTTTGAAAATTGCATGATGTGCAGAAATTGCTAATATAAACATTCGGTGGACATTTCATGCTTATGTACAATTTACGATTGTTTAAAATATCAAAAACTTGTTTTACATAAAAGTCCCCTTGATTTATTTTTGGTTTCGCCACCACTTTGGATAACTACTAGGATGTTTTTACTTTGGGCCCCTGTAATGTTCAAAATAGAAATATTACTTCTACTAGAAAACAAACACACATAGTAAAATCCAGAATCTAAAAAACTAATTGGCAAATTAAAATAATTTATTCTTAAGCACCTTAATGTTTTTGTGTAAGTAATTTTTATCAATATAGATACCAGTTGTTAATCATAAAACATTTTATAATTTTATACTATTTAAATCATATTTTTTAAAAGTAATACTTAATTGTATGATATATTGTAAAAAGCGTTGAAAAACACCAAAGATACATATAATAAAAAAGGAGAGGCAAAAAGTTAGGTACCTACCTACTGAGTCAGCTACTCGGCTAGGTACTAAAGATAAGCCTATATAATGAATTTTTAAAGATGTTTTGTCTTTTATGGATACAGAAATATACAAAATATTTAAAGCAGTAATTACATATCATACATTTGTGTACATTTGTATGTACCAATATAACAATATAAAATACACTATTAATCCTTGTATAATATCATCATAACTTACTATTAATAATGACCAATATGACCATAACTAATGTCTGATGTTACTAACGAAGGAGAAACATCAATTTGTAATGAAGAGATTACGTAAGTTCATAGGACACTAGTGTTTCTACTTTCTACACGAGTGGAGCCAGTAATTGAAAACGTACTATCAAACTTTTGAGCCAAACATGCAACGGAGAAGATGTCAGAATTAGAATCAACAGGTCTGCTATACAGTAGCCTAGTCTAGACTGAAGAAAGTCATTATTGTAACAGATATGTTTTTTTTTTATTTCTGAAAATTTACAATCTGTATTTCATAACACAATAAGTAAAAAAGATGACTGACGTAACACTACATACATAATAAAAATAACACACGAAGCACAAGATGAGGGAAGTCATTCAACGATGGTACCCTCCAAACGGAAATGTTAAATTTTAAAACATGAATTCAATGATATAAAATCATTGTATACAAAAATCAATTCTGAGTGAAGACGCTTATTATAAAACTAAGTATAAAGTAGGTATATTTTATGATATTATTGCGATAAAAATGATTTATAATACTATTAGCCATAAGTCTTACTGTATAAGTACTACAGTTGGTAAAATTCATTTTTGTCAAAAAAATTGCATTTGAAAATGTCACTGTGTGTATAAAATATAATAATATACTTAGATACTCAAGTAAAATGTTCAAGTACTTGTTATTCTTGATGGTTTTAATATGTCATTTCGTCCAAATCAGAACCTGAAATAACTATAAAAAAAAACCGCGTTTATATGTTTTTTATTTTTTGGTTACAGAATGCACTACACATTTAAGTGGAACCTTGCTTAAATTTTGAATCCTTAGAATTCGAATGGAAACATTTTCAACTACGGAGTTATTTGTTAATTTTAAATTCTATAAATTTTATCTAAATTTGAACTTTAAATGCTTATAAAGTTATAAAATAAAATCCTACCTATGTATTTTTAACATTTATTAAGTGATATTGCCACGATGTGCGAGAAGCTATGATTACATTTTCAAGCTTTTTAAGCCAACAAATAATATTTTATTGGCATTTAAACAGCTCAAAACAAATCATTATAATTTGAAAAATTTATTCAAGTATTGAACAGAATAAAATAAACATATGGTGCAGTACTCAAGTATCTACGGTCATTCTTTTTGAATTACAACAATATAAGAAAATCACTCCTTGAAAAATCGAGTGAAAATTCTATGTTGTAAAAATTTGAACTTTAAACGCTCATGAATATTGAATTTGATTTTCTGGTAAGTAGAAATTTTTTTTTACGTAACCAAACCTAATCATCTTGAATTAAATTTTAAAATTTTAGTTTTAAAAAGAAAAAACGTATACATTTCTGACTCAAAATAATTCGCAAAATTGTCGTGATTTTTACTAATTTCGTCAAAATATGAAATTCAAATGTTCATAAAAATTTATTGTTTATTTACGCTCAACTTATTTTTTATATTATACTGACAACAACTTACGAGGAACTATATCTTGAATAACATTTTCAAGTTTTTCGACCAAGAGAACGATTTTTTGTTTTTTTGTTTATACAAGTTTAAAAAAAATTAGTAATAATCTAAAATTTTTTTATACGTAAATAATTCAACATGAGTCGAAATAATATGTTGAAAAAGGGGGTTAATTTTAAAAGTTTTATACTTTATAAATTATTACTCGGCATCAAACTCATATGATCTTGATATAAATTCTTTAGAATCCAATTGAACAGGACTATTTCAAAATTATAAATACTAATGTGTATTTACGTATTTTAGTTATTGCAGTAATATTATGTAAGTTCTTTACAAACATATTTTTCATTTATTTTAAAGGTGGCTATATAGTATATTGCTATGCTAAGGTAGATACTAGATAAATAACGGTTCTATTTTTATTCTTATAAAATAAGACATAGATACATATTTTTTTCTTTTAAATAATACAATTTATTAATATCTATATATTATGATATATTCTATATTTATAATACCTCTATACTTCAAATTTTATTATTAAAAAAAAGAGATCATATCATGCTTTAAATATGAATTAATTATATAATATTATAATATCTTAATATTGACTTAACGTTTTTACACAGGTAGGTGGTTTATAATTTTGACTTTTATTTAAAAACATTTTGTTGCACTTTTGCATGGAAGTGTTGTTCACCTTATATCATGAAATATGATGACCAACTAGTATTTAAAGACGGACAATGAATATACCTAATGTATATTATACACTAATTTAAAATATTAGGTTAGCCATTAAGTAATGGAGTTAAGATATTAGATAGGTAAATTTTCAAGGAACAACAAAATTTACTAACTACATAAAAAAAACGCTCTTTCTTCTTCTAAAATTGTATTCTAAAACATTTATTTATAAATTATTTGAATATTTGATCCATTTCAAAGCAGAACTCTGCACTTAACATCTTAACATAATACAATACTGTACTGCCGATCATATAAAAATATTTAATACTATTGACATAAAAAATAATGATAAAATTGAAGTTAAACACTTTAAACTTGCGTCAGTCTCAAAAATGTCTTTTATTTTGGAAACAATGGAAATTTCAATACATTTCAAACTCTTCAAACTATATTTTTACACATCTAAAAAAATAGTCAAATTTTCAAAAATTTAGATAATTTAAATGACGACAATTTTTATTCTTATATAACAACTTGGAATTAATTTTTTGTTTCAAGGTAAAAATCTAAATTAAACTATGATGAATACGAAAAACAATAAAATAAATAATCTCACTCGAATAAACCTAAAATAATAAAGTAATTTTAAATTAAACAATATAAATAAAGTCGTTTAGTAATTATTATTATGTTTTAAAGGTCAAAACTAATTTTGACAAAATATTCATAATATATACTATTCATTGCAATATTGAAATTTTTTTAGTATTAAACTGTTTTGAGTCTCCTATTTCAATTAGGTAAAGATTACCAGTCTATGATGACTCTTTAATTACAAAATTCTATTTGATACAAAAAAAATGTGTAACAAGATGAAAAAATATGATTGCTATCCAATATTAGATTATTAAACAATAACTGGTATTTTAAAGAAATAACAAATATAAAAAAGAGAAATAAATATTATATGAAAAAAAATGGATAAAGATAATAGAATGTATCACCTAATTTCTACTTTTTAAACACGATTGTTAGGACTTGAATTGATCCACACACGATTATCTTTGGCATTAATATCCTTCTTTTTATTATCTTCAATTTTCTTCCATAGGGTTGCTATCTTACTAGTGACTTCTTTCTTTTGACCAGATGTTGTTCTAACTGAGGACCCCGAACTTGCTGCTGATATGTTCGAATTTAAACTAGTATTGCTATTTGTCTTAGCCACTCCAGCCATGGTCGGAAGACTACTATTGCTACCAACCCATTGATCGGCACTACTTTTTAAACTGCTATTACTAACTGAATTACGAACACCACTAGATCGCATACTTGTAGTCGACTGTTTATTAGACGGTGGTTTAACCAGATTTGGTACACTAGTATGTTTTTTGCCAGTAGATCCCGGAGTAGGAATACGAGATTCTTCTTTTACAAATGTACCTTGTCTTTTAAGGGGAGTCTGCTTTTTAGTAGGTGTTGATTGTGAACTTTTAGAGGTTGTAGGGGATGGTTGAGGACTGCTTCGAGCTACTATCGGTATTCCACTTCCTCGTGATTTTTTCTTACCTCTAACAGCCTTCACTTCTGAAGGCTTAACAATTCTAGCTGAAGCAACTCCAGTATTTGACTCATTCCCATCGCTGGAATAACCGTCAGTACCCTCCGATGTGGTACTTTCGTCAACATGGTTTTTAAAATTTGATGTGAAGTCATTATCTTTTGGTCGGATTTGCACAATATTGGTTAGGTCTAGATCAGCTAATGTGCGAGTACGAAATCTATCTTTTTCAGAGGACCTTTTTGTTTGGAATTTTTCTTTTGGTGACCTTTTTTTTATGGCGTCTTCAGAAGAATGAGAGTCTGATTCATTCAGAGGTGATGACCTGGTTTCAGGCTCCATAGAGTTTTCTCTGCTGTCGTCAGAAGTTATTGTATAGGTATTATACCTGGAAATAAATATTACAATTTATTAGCTACATACTATTTAAAATAATTATTTATTTTTATTTATTTACCTGTCTTTCTTCATGTTTCGCTTTTGTTTAGGCGTTAGTCGGCGTCTTATTTGAGCTGGACTATTAGGATCTGAAGACATTTCAGATGATGGCAAATCATCTACTAAAGTTAAATCATCCACAGCTGTATAATACTGAGCACCAATCGACTGGTCAACTATTTCAGAGCGTATACTTGATATACTGGTAATACTATTTTCCATCTCAAAATCAGTAACTTCATCCATGTATGATGGAGGATTAATATTCTCTATGTTTGTACAACTTCCTAGTGAATCATTTCTATCATTAGAACTTTTTCTTTTTTTATCAAAACCACAATTAGATTGAACACTTGTTGTCATGGATAGCAAACTATCCATGTCCGAAGGAGGTTTTATAGCATCCAGATGTGTGTCATCAAAATCTAAAGAAGATATGATACCTAAAACAAACAAAAACCATGGTTTACAATCAACATAAAATATTAAATCTACAATTTTACCAATTTCTCTTTTATCCAGTTTTAAAAACTTTGGTTTAGAATTCTCTTCTGCACTTAAGTAAGAGCTTGTGAGAGTAGTAAATGTTAACGTTTCATCGTCTTTCCATGTGGATTCATCACTTTCATCTCGTTTATATATAACTCCATCAATAATATCTCCTGGTGTAATTGTACTCGTAGACTCACTAATTTCACTTTCTGATTTGGGCCCAAAAGATTTTTTGTACTTATTTAACACTGGTATTTCTCTTTTTTTATGAGTTGATCCTCTTTCAATGTTTCGTATACCTTGGCTAATACAATTATTTAATAAATCCTCTTCATTTTGTTCAAGGGTACAATTTGTCTCTTTTGATTTGATTTTTTGTAAATTTGTCATGCCTGCTTCAATACACTCATTTAACAAAGCTACTTGTTCATTATCCGACAAATCATCACTATTATTTTTAAATGTTTTCTTGCTATTCATAATTCCAGCATCAATACATGATTCTAATAACATTAGCTGTTGTTCATCAGTGAGATCACTGTCTGGTTTCTTGGTTCTTTTCTTAACTGACATTTGTAATTTGGATGTGGCTGAATTATTGATACCTGAAGCTATGCACTGATTTAACAATTCCTGCTGTTCATCATCAGGCAATTCTTCATCAGTTATTTTTAAAGTTGTTATTTTTTCAATACCGGCATTTATACATTGATCTAATAAAGCGTTGTTATCATCGTCATCATCATCATCATCATCATCTTCAGACATGGGTTCACTATTCAATGTATGGGCATCATGTAGTGAATGAGATCGTGGTATTCTGTTATCACATTTACTAGAGTCATCCAATGAAAATTCACTATCTATGGAATCAGTTGACATTCGTTTATTAATAACTGTTACTGGATCTGTAAATATGAAATGTTTCAAAACTTATAAATTGAAATGAAATAAAGAAATAAAACAAATTTACCTTCGATTTCAGAAGAGTTAATTGAATTTGATACATGTGATTCTGTTGAAGGGGAATCCAATACTAATGATCTGAAGAATACAATTAATTAATTAAATTACAGGTGTTAAGTTTAATATAAAAAATAATCTAACCTGGACAATGATATGTTTGCTGAAGTGGGTGTAGTAGAACTTTGATTAAATTGAAGATTTAAATTTCCTAAAGGTCTACCCGTTGATTGGTATAAACGTTTCTTGCCAACCTAAAATATTATTACAATTTAAACGTACATTTTTGTTTAATATAAAAAGTTAGATCAATCAAATTGTAGTTTAAATATTATATTTTTAAAGTTTTATTCATATTATCAACAATGTGAAACAATTTAAGCATTCCACAATAATACTTATTTGACCCGTTGCTCTAATTTTCTCAGTCGACTTAAGTGGTTTTATAAAATAATACTTAATTTTTAAATATAGTTCATTGTGACTCAAGCTGGGTAAACATATACCATCAAGAAATATTGTTTAAATGTTTAAAATACAGAGAATTGACATGAATTAAGAATGAAACAACATTGATTAATATTATTTAATGTTGATATTGATGAATATTAATTACCATTTTCATTGATTGTCGAAGGATAACATTGGTTTCTGATCCATCTTCTGAAGGAGTAATCATTGATAAATCTGAATGTGAAGTAGCTGTACTTATGTTTGCTGGAGTTCCTTCTGTACAGAATCCAATTATCTCATCTCCCTAAAAAAAACAAAAGATATTAAGAATTTTTCAGTTTAATTATTTAGTATAAATTATGATACCTCATTATCCGTTGTTTTATATTGTGAAAAACTAGACTCTGGACATTTGTCTACTGCCTGGCTATTGCTTTGCACCATGACTGGAAGTCTAGATCTAAAAAAAAAGTGACAACATTTTAAACAATTATTATATTATGATTATGTAAGTTATTTGTGGCTAACCTAGCATGAGGTATAAATCCTGGATTCTTATGTTGTAGGTACGGAAATGTGGAAGAGGGTGACTGCAAAAAAACAAAAATAAAATAATAATTAGTTAAGATTTGTTTTATATGTTCACAAGACGTAACAAGTGCTGAGTCTTATTTACTCAGAACAAGACCCATCACAAATGAATCAGCAAACTCAAGTGAAAGTTATTTACTGCCTACAGATCAATAATACTAACAGAAATCAATTATTCACGGTCTCATGGTTATTATAACTCAAATCATATTCCAAATCTCCAAACAGTTTTTTTCACTTTTGTTTGACATAACATTATTTTACTTACTTCGAGGAAACCATCAGGATTTAACTGGAAAGATTTAGACGTCTTATCAATAGATGGAGATTCATATTGCTTACCATGCAATACATTCCTAAACAAATTATAATTAATTTTATTAATTTAAATCATTATTATTATTTAGTAATATTTGAGTATAGGATTTAAAACTAAAAAAAAAATATTGTACACTCACATAGGATTTTTTTCTTCGTTCAATGATGGTAACATATTTTGGCCTTGATTGTATTGTAATTTGATCTAATAATAACAAATAAACCTTAAAATTATCAAAGTTATTTAAATTTGTTTAACACTTACTCCTGGAAGATCGTCATCAATGGTCAAGCTACTTAAGCTCGTACATTCTGAACCTTTGCCAGGCATTTTTTCTTCTTTAAAAATAGTCACACTATCTTCAAAAACACTTTCATCTTAAACAATGAACATTAGTATTAATTATAATTATTTTTTTCACAGTTACTAAACATTTTAATTTTATTTCCAGTATTAATAAAGTAATGTAATAAAATCACAATTTCTTCAAATTTGAATCTAATTAATTAGTTTTAGCTTTAGGGAGGAACATTAGAGAGAAATAATATATGGCTATAATTGTGCATTTAAGAACCTACTTATCCCAATTAACTAATAACAATAAATTCAAAATGGAAAAAAAAATATAGTTGCAAAAATATGGTAGTTTTTATAACTACCTAGATGACCAAGTTTCACATACATAAACCTACAATACATTTAAAAAAATCAGATTCTAAATTTTTGGGATTTTTTTTTAAATATGGTGGTTGTTTAATCTGTGAATAAACGTTTTACAATAAACACAGAATATACTGTGGATTTATAAAAAATGAAACTAACCAAATTTGACTTGGAGGTTTGTGTAAAGTGGACAACCATTGATAAACTTTAAGAATGATGATATATTATTTTATTTATAAATTTTTAATTTTATAGTAATTTACAAGTAAAGTAGATACTCATTAATCCGGACTAATTGTGGCTCTAAGTTGACCGAATTAATAAATGTTGGGGTCAAACAAACAAAATAACCAACAAACTAGTATATATTATAGATTTAAGAATACATATTATATAATTAACAATTGAATAACGTGTTTGACAATATGTAATTGGTATTTACTATTATGTAGAAATAATCGTAATAACATGCATTTAGGGAAATTCGTGGAACTTGTTTTCAAGTTATTTTAGACTGTGGATAAAACTACGAGTTTGCGTGTTATAAAAAAACTGTTTGGATTAAGCAAAATCCGGTCTAATGGGGTCTGGATTAATGATGTACAAATAAAAATAAGAAAAATTCAAACAAGAAAACACAGATATTCTTCCATAATTGAGGTTTATAAAAGATCAATTTACTTAAAGATTAGAAATAATCACCATTTTGCTTCAAACCTCAAAAAAAAATATTTAAAAAAAATTAAAAATTAACATTTAATTACTTTTGAAACATGGAGGACTAGGCGGGACTGTTGGAGTTGGTGAATCTGGAATTTCACTTGGTGTAACTAATCCGCTGGTGACGCGACTAAAAAACAAAAAATTAAAAACCACATAAAAGTTGATCATTATAAAAATACAAGCTTCAGTTATACCTGCACTCACTAACGGCAGAACTACCAATATAACCTTCTTGTGGTTCACAGCTTCCGAGTGAAGCGATTGAACTACTTCTTGAGAACATCAAAGGTGTTTCAAAAGTCACCATTTTACCTAAAATTTAAAAAAAAACAATATAAACAATTTTTTTAAAGTGATTTTAAATATAATATAAATTTTTACCATCTTTTAATTCATTCTTGGGTTGTGCATCATCTGGTGTTTCACTACCAGAATTAGGTACATTCATACTTTGTTCAGGAAGTCCTGATCCAGATTCGTTACGATTCTAAAAACAATTATTAGAAATTCAGTTAGTCTTAACATATTTGATGCTATGAGCCCACTAGTGGTCATATCATATACCAACCCGTTATTTATTTAACACATCATTCAATAATTGTTCTAATTAATACTTTTAGGCCTTACCTATTTAAAAATAGATAAATTGTCTAAATTTAATTTTTAGTTTTTATTTCAAACTTATTAATTACTAATTAAAAAAATGTCACAGTAAACAAGCCTATTTACAATTATTTGCAGGACATAAAATAAAAAAAAGTAAATTATGTGCCTTTACATTTTTACAATACGTAGTTATAGTAATTAAAATGTTTGAAAAATTACCACATGGCATATATTAAGTAAAAGCATAAATACTTGAATTACCTTGTCATCTATGCCACATTTCCTTAAATCTGTATATGATGCAGCGTTAGAAAAATTATAGGGGGTACCTTCTGTGCAATAAGTCTGTGTTGTATCACCGGTTAATACTTTTTCACCATTATCATCATCTTCACATAACAAACTGTAGTTAGTTGCTTCATCCAGTGAAGTCTCAGCATATCCATTGGAAGATTTTTTGACTTTCTCTTCAAAACTGATATTATTTTCTAATTGCCGAATAGAATCTTCAGAACATTCTACAGAAGGTTCAAATTTTTCATTTTCAATTTCAGTTGTCATACTGTTTTTGTTAATTTTAATAATATCGTAAGACTGCTGTGAGATATTTGTCAAATTTGGTTTTCTAAAATAAAATTATCAATCAAAATCAATCCCACTACAAAAACATAATTATCTAAAATTAAAAACAACGTACACAGTAACTTTCAAATCATCACTTTCTGTTTGTATAGTTTGTATCTCTTTATTAAAATCCTTTAAATATGTATTGTTAGAAATAGCTGAAGTACTCTTAAATGAATTATCTTCAAGATTTATATTCACATCTAAACAAAAGTATTAAAATACAAAATCTGTTTTTCAAGTCTTACATATTATATCTTTATCATTTTAGCAAACCTTGATCAGTATTATATGCAGGCATAGCATTCATAAGATTATTAAGCGCAGCTGACGATCCAGTAGCAATCATCTTATGTTTGGAATGAATTAATGACCGTAACATAGGTATAATTCCCAAATTTATCATTGTTGTTTGGTCACGAATATTACGTGCCGATAAATTCCAAATGGTCCCACATGCATTGCTCACAATTGTTAAACTTGGGGACTGTAGCTGTTGCATTAACATTTCAAGTACATTATGATGTCTTAAAATATCACTGTTAAAAAATATACAGAATAAAATACATTATTTTTTAACATAATGAATGAAATAGCTATCAAATAAGTTATTAATTACCGATATTCTTCATGAGATGCTATAACACATGAAATATTTCTCAATATTCCTCCAGCATTTTCTATTATTGTAACGGATTTAAAAGGACTTGTTCCACCTAATGTTTTAATCAAAAACTCAATAGCTCCTTCAACTTTGCATATTTCTTCCTAGATAATGAACATTTTATTTAATATTAAACTATTTAACAATTTTATATATCTATTATTTAGCATACTTTATTTTCAGGTGAGTGAGCAGAGAAATTCCAAAGAGCAGACAAGAATGATTTCATTGTTGTTTCTTTATTCGCTTTCATTGAGGCTTCCATTAGCGCTTTAACTGCACCTACATCACGCAAAATTTCTTTACTATGTGGATCGGCTCTCCATGATAAATTTCGTAAAACACTTGCTGTGACCTAAACAAAACTCACGGGTTATACACAATTCAGTAAACATGTTTAGTTAATTTTTTCTAATTTTCCAATGATTGAATACCTGTCTGAGGTCTTCACACTGTATTTGTAACTGTAATATTAAAACTTTGAGGAATTGTTTAAAAGAACATAAAAGTGTTTTGGTAGTAGCATCACCAAATGTTAAATTAGTTAGAGCCATGCCAGCATATCGCCTAAGGGTTACACATTCTGAATTAGATTCTAAATCTGGTTCACTCCCATGAACTTCATGATCAACTTGAATCAGTCTAGTAACAGTATAGATTGCGCCTTAAAAGGAAAAGAAAATGTAACTAATTTAAATATATAGTAACATGCATTCAATACATACCTAATAAACACATAGCAAATCTATGTTGACTATCAAAAGATAACTTCATCAATGCTGCAATAGCAGTGATGGGATGTTTGCTAATATCCAATTGTTTAAGTACAACAACTGGTGTATCACAGTATTCTCTCATGCTTTCCAATAACTTATAAACACGAGACTCTCGGCGACCTTGTTTTTCATCTTGATTAAAAGTTACAATATTTTTTAATGCTTGGCTAGCATTGTGACGAACTACAATGTCAGCATTCATATCATGGACAATTTGCACAAGCAATGGAACACAACCTGTCAAGGAATATAATGTTAATTCAGATATTTTAACAATATTATAATTCAAATTCAAATGATCATACTATAACACACAAAATACAATTAAATTAGAAGACATCTTACCTGTTTGTCTCATTGCAGCACAACAATCGGGTGATTTGCTCATAGCCAAAAGAACTGAAACTGACTGATATGAAGATTGTATTGAATTGTTGTTTTCCAATAATGACAAGAGATTATAAACAATTTCTACTTTAGCTCCTAATTGTTGTTGGCTACTAGATCTCATTGATAGACCGTTTTCACATTCTAAAGATGAAGTTTGAGATCGTAATAAAGATGAGTCTGAAGACAAATTTGTGGGTCCTACGCTGTGCCACATATTAAATTTTTTGTCAGCTAATATGCCAGGAGGTGTAGGTAAACAACCCTTAAATAAAAAATTAACAGCAATTAAAATATAAATTTAATATATATATACTTCTCTCAGGTCTTTTCATGCTTATTTCTCTTAACTTACATCAGGAGATATTTTAGCTTCATCTTCTTCTTTATCTTCAGCCATTGATCTTTTTTCTTTATCTATATGTTGATTCTACAAACAAATACAATTTATTAACAAAGCGCATACTATAAAATATGCTTTTATTTTTTAATCAATTCTCCTCGTGCTAACCTCATTTATGATTCTAAGGTGACTGTTATTATTGTAAGAATGTTTAGCACTGTGTTTGTTGTCATAAAATGACTGCGTGAATGACCAATTATTAGCTCGTCTATTGTCTTCCACATTACATGGTGACAAATACTGATATTGAGTTTTAGATATAGAATGTCTGAAGTAATATGAAAATATTGAAAATAATTTGAGATAACTTAAGTTGTAATTATACAAATGTTATAACTAAAAGGCAAGGTTTTGCAAACTTACTTGCTTGATAAGACATTATTATTTTGCCCATCATTATAATCTATTTTACCATAACTACAATTTTCTGAGGTTTGATTGTTATTATTATTTTGAATATGTTCATTATCATTCTTAGTAGTAGCACTCCAGCGAGTTCTAGGAGGATTAGATAGTGACCTCACATGATCTAAGCTAGGTGATGGAGGTACACGGGGAGAACGAGATGATGAGGAGGAACGAACAGGAAGTCTAGATTGTCGATCAGAATACATTATTTTAGTTCTACACTTTAAATGAAAACAAGAAATTTAATAACTTTATTACTATGTAACAAAACTGTTTAAAAACAATGTTGTGAATGATGACATAAAATAGTATTTGTAACAGACTGTCAAGGTATATTGCGTATAAAGTTTTCTATATTGTGATCAATATTGTAACTAGGGTGAATTGAAGGGGAGTGGCAATCAGCTGTGCGTGGTTATGGTGCATTTTACCCCCAGAGAGCACTTCTTTTCATTTCTCATAACATGGGCATAATAAATTAGTTCCTTTACTTGTTTACAAAATCATACTTTTTAATAATTACAGAAAATGTATTGGTCTTGATATTAGATTACAAATGATTTAGTTTTCACCATCCTTTTTTTTATGCGTTAATAAATTAAAATTTTTTTTAAACTTAAAGTGGATATAACTAAATAATTGAGCTTGTATGGTTAAATTATTATTGTTATTATACTGTGAAGATTATACACGTGTAAAAGTGAATTAGTCATTTTTTTTTTTTGTACAAAATTATTTTAAAATATACAGAAAAGATGCAAAAATTATATTAACTAAATGTTGGGACAATTATTAATTTAAAATGTTAATTACAATTGAAACAATCAAGTACTTACTAAAAAGTGCAATATTTAAACACAAAAATAAAAGATTGACAAGGACATTTTGTTGTGTTATATAGAAGCAGAAGTGCCATAATAGTTTTTTTACAGATAATCTTTAAGATATTTTTTAAGTCTTCTAATATTTCTAGGAAGTGTGACAAAAGATAGGTATTTATTGAGAGTTAACTTTGGAATAAAAATATCATGATTTAGTCAGTTAGTTTAACGGTAGTTATTTTCAGGTCTTAGTGAACATTTACCAGCAACTTATTAATGGAAGCTTGAGTAGGAAACAATAGTTCTATAGGCTTAAATCAAATGGAATATGAATTTATCGGTAATATGATTGAAAGATAACAAATGTTAAATTTTAGAAATAGCTTGAGTAACAAACATAACAATTTGATAATTTAAATGAAATTATTACAATAGGCAATTATTATTTGATAATATATTTTTATAGACTGAAATGCATTTACAAAAAAATTAATTCTGAGAGAAAAAGAGTTGAAGATATTTATACTACAAAATATTTGTTATTGTCATTTAATGGTTGGCTGAGTTTAGGATCATTTAGAAATAATAACATTAATATAAAGAACTACATACATATTATTTTAATGATGGTAATTTCCTGACAAGCCTAAAACATTTTTTAGTAAATATGACTAAAACATCAAGTGAATATAAATAAAGATGACGACAATTTGTAAATAACTAGATCAGAAGTTCCCAAACTTTTCATAGTATGACTTATCTTGGAAAATATTTAAATTTTGACGACTTTTAACATACTAATGATCTTTTGTTTTGTTGTTATTGTGATTGTTAATCACCATTATTGTAATAACTTTTAATCTGGTAGTATTGTGTGATACGTCACTGATCATATATTGTAAACTGTAATCATTGTGGGTAATGATAAATGATAAAACTATATTCAAAGACGAACCTCTGAACTAGATGACACCTTGTTAAACATTCTTACACAAAACTTGTCAACCTAAGTAATTTGTGTGCTATAAATTAAATGAATAAATAAAACCAAAAAATGTTTACCTGTTCAGTACTAGTTTTGTTTTCTAGGGGTAGAGTCATTTTTGGTGACATATCCCTTGATGGCATTCCTCCGTTTAAATCAACTAAAGTACATTAAATTTTAAATATATGAATGTAATGTATTTGGAACATTTTTTTTTTTTAGGTTACTGATGTCTATTTCAATAATAAATTGTACCTGGAGGCAAATGTTGAGCTAATAATGGTGTATTTAATTGCCTTTGAAGTTGTCTGGTTTCTTGATTAAGACTGCGCACTGTTTCTAACAGCTCTTCATAGCTGGAAACTGGAAGTGTCATGTCTCATAACTATAAAATGGTGTTTTAACTGAAATACAGAAATATTGTATTTAATAATTTACTCAAGCAGTAAAAGTGTATTGTTATTTATTATTAATAGTTACATATTACAAAATACATGTATTTTTGTTATACTTATTTCTGTAAACAATGTACCTATGCTATTTCAAGGACAAGATGATTTTGTGGTCTAAACTTATGTGTATATTACATGTATACTATAATTTAATATATTTCAATTTTTAAAGCATTAAACAAATTATTATTATTCAAAATTTGAAGAAAAATCATTCTAAAAAAGGATATTCAAGGTTTCATAAATATGTCAAGAGTATATGTGGTAATTCAAATCCATATAAGGATAGTAACTGCATACTCTAACATAGGCCAATCTTTGTAAAAAAAACAACTGAAATTATAAAGCAGTTTTAAACGGGGTTTTAAATAAATAAACAAAATATGTATCATTAGTATACTGCCTAATGAAATAATCTGTTTGCATTTTATGTTACCTAACTGTAGTGATGCATATGATTATTATATGGAATATAATCACATTATACAATTTTTACCTAATTAACTAAACTGATAAGATAAATATTTAAAAGAATCATTTATAAAAGAAAGGTATTGATTGACAATTGGATACTCTTATGGTTATGTCATAGTCAACAATATTGTATGATAATGTATTTATAAATAAAATACTGCAAGGTACTTAAAATATTTATAATGTATAGTGCCGTATTGTAATAGAATGCCCAAGGAAAATATCAGTCAGGACAAAGAGGCATTGATTTATTGTGGTTAATATGTATTCATTGTCAAAGAAGCAAAGAAAAATACTTGTATTATGATTAGCTAACCTATAAACATGTAACACAATACAAGAATATTATACAAAGCCTATTTTTTTTTTTTTGTATAGTAGGTAGTAGATACCTACATACTTATATAAAACATTTGATTATATAAGCAATATTTACATTATTTATAGGTAGTAGAACAAATTAAACTATAATATCAACCAATAATTTTAAATCACAAAGTTAAGTTTCACCTTAAGACTAACATCTTTCTAGAATATCTTTTTAGACTATCGCTCCTACCCAACCTAAAAATGTACTTGTTGGTATTCAATATAGTATGTTTCAAATAAAGGTGTCCAAATTTTCCATCAAATTTTTGTTTTGTTAAGATATTTAATTTACTTGTTGTTCTATGTAGGTGCATTGTACAGGTTAAAAAGTTAAAAACTATGAATAATGCAATGTTTATAGTAAAAGTAATAGGCCTGTCAATGAATATGGTTACAACCAAAATATTTTTATAGAAATTAGATACACAAACTTCTATAGAATATTTTATATAGATAAACATTGATGAATAGGTACTATAGATGAATATATTATGGAAAACAAAATTCAATAATAAGTAAAGGTACCTAGACAGTGAAAAAATTATAAGTCAATTATGCTTATAATTAATATAAGTGTACCAAGGCATTTAGGCTTGTTATGTTATAACAAGTACCTTATGAGTTATGGGTATGTAAATGTTTAAATAAACTGTGATTGAACATTAATTACATTCAATTAGCGTCTGAAACGATGCACTTAACCAAAATTGGAGTCCCTAGTCATTATCAATAAATTAACTCTTATTAGTTACTTACAGCTAATTTATATTTTGGGTTGCATCGTCATACAATATTTTTTTTTATACCTAAAATGTTTATATTCAACATATTGAAAATTTTTTTATAAGAAACAAATTTAAAAATTACACATATGCACACTAGTGGTGTATAATAACGTAAGATTTCAACATGTTAAAAAAATAGTAGTATGTACTGTTTCTTAAGAAAACTTAATAGATCGTACATCACAAAATGTATGAATAGTATTTTCGAATAGTAAACAAAATAAAATCCATACCTAGGTACTGTAATATAATAATACAAAAATGTTTGGATATTGAATTATAGAAAATATTACCTTCATATTACTAGTGTGCATATAACCGGTAATACACTGGTCCGAGTGTCCAACAGACAATCCTGATCGATAAAATTTGGTCAACATCAAAGGAAAGTATTTGTACTCGTATTTGTATATCAACCGATAACAAACCAGTGTACCTATGCATAAATAAATAAGTAATGTACTATATATTATTGTATTACCATAGAACAATAATATAACAAAAATACAACAATAATAAAACAATAATACCGGTTTATTATACATAGACACATAGTACCAAATTAATTGACAAAAAAGAAACATATCAGACTAATAGACTATATAGATGTCATGTAAACAAACAAATTTGTTTAGACTGGGGAACACCGTAGCGAATAAGCCGACACAACTTTACACTATGGGCCTATACAACATTGTAACTCGCTGGCCACCCAACTACCGGTCTCAAAAACAGTCGAAATGACAATTACAAAATTTTAGAAAATGGCAATAACGAATAATTCTTTACCTGTGCGAGGAAATAGAACGTTCGACTGAATATCGAGTGATTGTTTTCTTGTTCTCGCTGGAAGAAGCTTTCGAGATCTCTCGTTAAAATGTACCGAAAACGAACACGCAAGTGGCCAAGTACGTGCCGTGTGTGGTGACTGGTGTAGTGAAGTACACAACCATTAAACGTCGCCGGAGAGTGCGAGACAGTGGTCGGTGATAGTACGAAGGACGAAGGACCGCGACAGCCGACTACCGACTACGGACTGGCAAGTGGCAACTGGCAACTAGCAAGTAGCGACTAGTGACACTGCGAGTACCCCCGAATGTACATAGTACGTACCACGACACCGTCACGGGTACTCCTTTCAATTATTATCGGCCTCGTGAAGCGCAGCTCGTGTGTTGACAGCGGTTATGTTGGCAACGAAATTCCGTAACGTTTCGGATTTATATTTTTCACGGTCAAACATCGTCATTTTATTCGTCAAAATCTTTGTAATTTGTATAGGAATAAAAGGACGGCTTATCAGCTATCACCGGAAACAAACAGATGATCTTAATAATATTATATTAACTTAAATAATATTATAATATAATAAAATCTGTTTAATATAATCTGTGATATTAATAACATTATTCTGTGTCACAAATACGACAGAAATACAGAATATGAACCATAAACATATAAATGTATAACTTATATTTAAGTCTATGAGGTGAACACATTAGAAATTACCATACGTATCCACATAATATTAATTATTTTTTACTGGATTCGATCCAAGCGTTTTTAAGGAGTTTAATATAGGCAATTTTACATGTGTGTGCATTGTGCAGAGGGTCGTCGAAATGTGTTAATCATTATACTCATTAACTCATTATGGTATTGAGTGACTATATAAAATAAATAGAGGAGTCCACCTCAACTTGGTCGGCTTGTTCATGGCCATAACCCATTACACTCCTATTCGTTTTTTTTGTCAAAAATATAAATATATATTTGAATCTAAATAAATTTCAATAAATTGTATTGAATACTTTCTTACATATTTAAGATCATTTTCGACTCCAATATTATTAACATTTTAAAATTCTTAATATTCAAAATTATAAAATCTATTTTGAAGGGTAAAGGAGTTCAATTTCAAAAAAATGGCTATCATCTTCATGAAAATTGTTGGTATAAAATAGATCTAGTTTGGTAATAAACAGAGACGGAATCGAATCCCTTTAACAATAACGCTTTTGTCTTGTCAACTTCCGAGAAAGCTAAGTTTTAATATTTCAAAAATTTTAACTGTCTACAGTTGATAGTTATAGAGTTAATCAAAAAAATAAAATGACTTTTTTGTTTTTGAGTGATCACATTTTAGGATAGAGTAACTACTCTATGCATCACTTGTTTAACAAAAATGCTAGAAGATAATAAAATATTTGAGGGTTAAACATATTGATTTATATTTTATTATCATTTGACTTTGAGAGTTGACTATCAAATCTCAATAAGAAAAATTATGAATTATATACATGTTTTTATAACAATATTTATCATTTTAGCATGTATTCAGACCAAAAACAAGTATTCAAAAAATGTTTGTAAATGTAAATGATTGATAAATGTATGTCTTATAGGTACTCAAAAATATTAACATCTTTAATTATTGTGATGGTTGATTTTATTTTAAAATGACACATAAACATAAAAAAAAATGGTTTTAAGTGAATACAATTTTATCTATATTGTGCATGGGCCAGAGTAAAAAATCAATGGGCTGAAATTTTCTCAATATTATTATGAAAAATTATTAACTGGATGAGATTTAAGTATTTGAAACTGGCAATTACGTAAGTTTTGATTAGCTAAAACAAAAAATAGTCATGAGTGACCAGTTAAATATTTAGGACTTAAATAGGACAATTTTAAACATTAAAATCATTAAAAAATAAATATATAACGAGCTAATTTAGTGTTGAAATCTTAAAATATCAAACCTAAATAATTTGGTAGTCAGTAGTAAAATTAAAGTAAATTAACTTTTAATTCTTGTAAAAATGTATACTTTCATTCTAAATTAATAAATTATTATTCATCAAGTTTAATTTAGTTAGATGTGTATTTATTAAAAAAATAATTAGATAATTATATATTTAAAAAGAAAAAAACACTTCACTTACAAAATAAATAAGTAATAACTTAAAGAAATGTAGAACAAATTGTATTATTTTCATTGACATTATATTTACTTGATCTATTTTACAAAAATCACAAATATAACTCCAACTTCCAAGTATAATATAAATTATTTTAATTAATTTGTTGATTAAACAAGACTATACATCAGCAATCTTTTTCGTTTTGATTTTACCTGAAGAAAATAATGATATAATTTTATTAGATAATTATGAGTAAACAAAAATATAAAAACATTTACTTACCACATTGCCCTTTGAACACCTGCTAATTTGTTATAATCAGCAAGATGTCTGAACACTATTCGACTCAAACGCCATCGTTTGACATTACCACGAGGACGAGAAGTCACCTGACAACGCTGTACAATTCTAGTTATACTAGCGTCCCTTGGACAATTGTAAATTTCTTTGTCAGCAATTTCCTATAGTTAATAAAATACAGTATTTCAGAAATTCATCAAATTGAGCAGCACCACTGCTAATAAATAACATTTTTTTCATTTTTATTTACTTGAATTTCTAAAGGAATGATATTGTTCTTACGAAGTGCATTATAGCGCAGTTTGTATACACCATATTCTTTAAGAGTGTTTCTTTTCCGTGCATCTTTTTTCATTCTAAAGTCTGGCCATTTATTACGAATTTGTTGATCACAAGGAAGCACACCCAACTAAAAAAATTTAGAACAATGAATTAACATTATTTTTTTTATACAAATAACCTAAGATTATAATTTAGGTACTTACACACGTTTTGTTCACTGGCGTTTGAAATTTAGCCAGAGCCTTACATCTTTGAAAAGCATTGATGATAAATGCCATTTTTTTTGTTAAATAAAACCATGAACCAACAATGAAATAATTAAAGAAAAATAAAATAATAACTGTACACTTCAGTCAGTCTGTAGTCTATGCTGAATGTCCGAACCCTGAATCGCGAAAAATTAAAATGTGAAATTAGAATTTAGAATATCGAAAATATTTTCAAAGTATTATAGATAATAATATTATATCATATACTATCATATCCTATTGATTATAAAAGGCATAGCTAAATATTTATTTAGCCATGAGAAAAGGTACAAGGCATCACAGCTGACATATGTAGATAATAAATTGTTATGATTTCTTTAATCATGATTCATGGTAACCATAAGGCATAGTTTGTTGTGAATTTATATTTGTTGATCATGACTTAAGATAATATCTTAAATCATGGTTATGACTCATGTCATATTAAACTGAAAATTGAATAAGTTTATTGTTTATTTGGTAATGGTTATACTGTTATTTGTGTCCAATATTATTTTGCGGTGCTTGCAGTGGTATTAAGAAATCGAGCTTTTAAAAAGTTTTTTTTATTGTTTAGTAAAAAAGGTATTAACCACGAAGTAAAATGAATCGTATATTCGGGAAATCCAAAGAAAAGGCGCCTCCTCCGGATATGACCGCAGTTATAAAAGGAGTAAGTATATAAATAAAAAATTATAAAATTGATAAATTATATTATACCTACGTTTGAGACTTTAATCTCCAGATGTATTCGTAATTATATGTCTAAAATTATTTGTAGGTAGATGATCGGGCCGAATCAGTAGAACAAAAAATTAATAGACTTGACAAAGAGTTAAAAAAACTGAAAGATCAAATGGCCAAGATGAGAGAAGGTCCAGCTAAGAATTCATTGAAACAAAAAGCGTTAAGAGTCTTGAAGCAAAGAAAACAGTGAGCTATGGAAAATAATATACATTACCTATATTAACTATATAATTGATTTTAGGACATTTTATCCCCAATTAAGTGATTTTTTTCCCAATAGCCCTTATAATTGATAGTATTGTGTATAGTGTACTGTGATCATATGGTTACTATACATAAGTATATTACTATGGTCTCGGTTATGAAAAATAAGTCCTAGCTCCCTCTGACAGTTGTTCATACTGACCGTTGTAACTTTTGGTACTCAACATTATACTGTCATACTGCCAGTTATATTAACAGACACAGAAAATGAGTGCTGACCAGTTGGCCGTTAGGTGTTCAATATAATTGTTTCTTCTCTCTTGGGTCCTTTAAATTCTTTAAGAGAATGCTATACCCAAATTTGTTATTAAGAACATTATCTGTGTTTGTGTATTGTTTTTTATGAATACGGATAATATTCTCACTATTAAGTTTCATAACAGGTTGATTCATTCAAGATTAAAATGTTTAAGCTAACGAAGCTAAAATTGAAATGCTGAATTTTAAATTGCTATATTACATACTTGTAAGACGAGACAACAAACACGGTTGCCTTTCAATGTATTAGAGGTACTAATTTTTGTTTTAGGATTTAATTACCACTAATAAGAAACATCCATTTTTTGTTTGTAACAAAAGTGTATCTTAAAGCATCTATTTAATTTAAACACGAAAATGACACTTAATTTAGTTGAAACTATTACTTACAACTTAGCCTATAGGAGTTAATATATTTTTAAACATTAAAAATCATCACCTCATATTATGAGCATATTTCATGCAAACTAAATTAGTTAAACTATATACTGCTCTCCACAAATGTTTGATTCAATGCCATTATGAATATTATTGAAGTTTTGTATATTATCTTAGTATAATTATAATTTCATGATTTCAATAATTATTTTATCAGCTAGGTAACATTTTATAAATTATAACATATAAACTTATAATAATTTATAAATAATTTATTATTATTTATTATAATTTTATAAACTATAACATTTTGAAAATTATTTACTTGTAGTTTACTGACAGATGTTTAGAACATCCTTTATCTCTATCGTGTCTGTCCATCCATTAGTTCCAGTACATAGTTATAATTGTTGATATTAATTATCATTCTGAGATTCTGACGAATGATAGGAATCTCATTTTTCTATAAGAACTATTTTTCTATCACATCCCTCTAAAAAATCATTTGCTACAAAACTTGAACAATTACACTTTATAATCATGCTTAAAATTATTCTCTTAAAGTCTAAAATTGTAAATAAGTCATTAATATTAGCATTTAATAGCATATAAGTACAACCACTACCTATACAAAAAATGTGTTACATCCGTGATACTTAGTTAAAGAATTTAGCGTTACTGATAAATACAAAATACAATTAGTATTAAAAAATGGTGGAGGCTGCACATTTTATTGTCTTAGAAAGATAACAAATATTATAACTTAATTATTTACTATACATTTTAAGATTAATATTATTTTAAATTATGACAAATTTAACAATATTAACAATTATATCTATATTTTAAATGTATGTTTATTAAGATGTATCAAATATTTATTATATATATAATAAATGTATTATATCAAATCTAAAGGGAGGGTACTGAAATTCCTTAGCACTCTGTATTTGCATTTGATTAAAATTATGAATTTACATTAAATATTTAAATATTTTTATGAGTATTTATTATTGTCTATTTTTTTTTTATTTTATACTTTATTACAATTATTTACAGATATGAAAGTCAGTCTGAAAGCTTAAGGAATCAATCTTTCAATATGGAACAAGCTTCTTATGCCGTTCAGTCATTGAAGGACACCCAATCAACAGTAGTTGCAATGAAAACCGGCATGAAACAAATGAAAAAAGAATTTAAGAACATTAATATAGATGATATTGAGGTAAGATAAAATTATTTTAATGTTTATTACTAGATTCAAGGAGTATAATGACATTTAAGAATTGCTTTTAATTGACAAACTTAAACGGACTATTCTATAGTTTATTCATGCCACTTATGATGGGTTGACAACTGGATTCTACGTGTACCAGTGATGATTGATATCTAGACACCTACATAATATAGCTTAAAACGTTTTCACTTTTTGACATACAAAAAACACAAAACATGCAAATGAGTACCATATCTGTTTTACTTGGACTTTAGACCTAAGAAGTTCTAGACAAATGTTCAATCCAATTTTCTCTTATACTAAGTTTTAGGTATACCAGAGATAATATTATACAATAATAAGAATATTATACTTAACATAAGGTGCAATATTTTTAATTAAATTTGATGGTTCATGTTTTATTATTTATAATACATACCTATTGGCTACAAAGTGTATGATATAAATAAATACAAGCTATAACTAAATATCAACCCTGAAGAAGGTTTAAAATTTTAAATGTACATAATATATTTTTGATTCAAGTACTTTCCTAAAATTCTTTGTTGGACTTGATATACAATACTTATGGGTGTTTTTACTAGCCAGAATGACAAGAGATAATATGTTATTATAATTTTAGTTATCTAATATACTTAACAATTACTGATTAGAATTTGAAAACATAATTAATTACCAACCAATATAGTCATGAAAACTGAAGAATTATCCTATATTAGTGGAATGAAAGTAACATGTTAAATTCTAAGTAAACTCATTTATTCGAAGAATAAAGGTCTCTTTTGAACATTAAATCATTTTTCATTTTTCATTATTAATTGTATAATTTCAATTTAGGATCTTCAAGATGAAATGGCTGATATGTTGGATCAATCAAATGAAGTACAAGAAGCATTGGGACGAACATATGGAGTACCAGATATTGATGAAGACGAACTAAATGCAGAGCTTGAAGCAATTGGCGATGAATTAGCTTTAGATGATGATACATCTTATCTAGACCAAGTGAATGTTCCAGACAAAGAACCTGGGCAAAAAGAGAAGGAGCCTAGTAAACCTGGTGAAATTTCTGTAGATGAATTTGGTTTACCCAAAATACCGGCGCAAATTTAATTTTGAAAATAATAAATTGCAAAATATGGTATTAACGTTACTTTTACCATTATTTTTTTAAGACTTAAATAAGTATTAAAATACCATTTATTATATTATACTATGGATTAATTAAATTTGTAACTACAAGTTGTCAAAAATTAATTTTTAAGCAAATTTTTATTTATATTCTAGTTACATAATTACTTATTTATGAAAAAAAATGTATTGATTCTTTTACACCAATTACAGCAACCCTATGTCAAGTAATAAAATAAAATTGAATTGATAACTATAAGCTCAATTAATGATTTGTTACAATAATAGTAAGTAAAAATACCACTCATTTTCTTCAGATAATTGTTCAACTGATATTGAGGTTTTAACTAATTTTAAAATAAAATGTATTTTTGTAATAAGTCTATTCTAAAAAAAATGATTTTGTATTACCAATTAATCAATTAATTTTAAAAGCAACATAATATTCATTATGCATAAGCGTATGGCATTGTTTATTTAAGTTCTAATTGGCTTAATAAAATATAAAGTTTTACCTTACACTTAATTAAAAAAAATTGTTATTAGTTGTATAATTTTTAATTTTAATTGTAATTTTAAATTTTCACGATAATTATGCAAATTAGAACTTCTCAAATTTGTAAACTAATAATTGTATTTATTGATACAATGCAGGGCAATACTAATCGTAAAATTTAATAAAATATTATAATATACCTAGCTGTTACAGATGTATAAATATATACATAATATGTGAATACGGGAATGGTAACGAGGGAAATAGTGTAGCTGATCAATAAAGTACAAATATTAAATAGGGTTATTACTATACACCTGTTTACACCTAGAAGTAACTACAAACTACCAGAGCCCACTTCCTTGACAGAGCCACAGAATATATATAATTCCCAGTACAACTAAAGTATATATATATATATGAGTCAAAAGCTTTTCTATCAATTTTTATTTCATTTGAAATAATTTGTACCTAATCCTAATTTTAACATTTGTACACCTACTCACCAAACTTAAAAAATTAGTTGTATTGTGCCGGTACCGGTATAATCGTTACACCAGTACCTCCATCAGCTTGTATTGGTGCTACTGACTCTTGACTTTTGACTTTGATCCCACAATTATTATTACAGCAGAACTGACCAATAGCGCTACTATGGGCGTACTTGAGCACCGCCTTCCACTTAACTTTAAGAACCCCTATGTAATTTCAGATATCTGTGGTGTAGTTTAAACAATGTAATTTTATTTTTAAGAATTCATTATTATTTTTTTTTCTTATTTTGCGTTTTGATTTTATTTTTGAGGTATTATATAATCTTAAATTACAAAATATCAAAATCTAATTTTATTAATTGTTATTAGAAATTTGTTATGACTATGGGTTCTAAACATACTCAGTACAAATAGTACAATGCTACAATCCAAAATGGGTACATTAGGAAAGGCCGAAACTAATATTGATATTTGATAGTATCATTGAGTCATTTCAAAATATGAGAACAGAAAAAGCATTTTCAAAATTATGGCTAAAAACCTTTCAACTTTTTGAAAAAATTACATATTTTTGGACGTTTCCCATACAGGTTAGTTAATTCTGTGTCCATAATCATACTACGACTATGATCTTTAAAATAAACTATTTTTAAAATACAAATTTTTAAAGGTCGAAACAAAAAAGAACTCATCCAAATAATTTGGACATATAGTAGGTTTCCATTTGGAGACCGTAACCAGACTTAGCTAATTGCATTGTTCCAGACGAAATATTGAATACATTTGCTAAATCGATACGAAATTAATAATTATGTTTAAAACTTTAAATTATAGATATAAATATGATAGAATATAATAGATAATAAAATAATTTAATGAAAAAATAAAATGTGTTAAAGTTTTTTCTAATAATGGTATTGTGAAAATAGTATAATCTAAATATTTATAATAAGTATCCAATGTTGGGAGATATGGGGGGCAAAGCACTGGTGCCGACACAGGAAAATTGATTTTTTCCAGGTTGAGATTTTGGAGAGGCATAGATATATTTAAATTAGGATTAATATACGTTACAAATGAAATAATAATCGATAGGATATTTGTCGACTTATTTAATATAGACTTCGGTGGTACTAGAGTAACGGACCTACGCCCACCAAACGCGAGGTACGGGAATCATTGTGAGCCCACTAATTTCGTTTACGTATACCTCTCTATACACAGTACACTAAATGATATTTAAAAACAAATGTAACATTCGTATATTAAACCAATATGCATTTAAGTTAAGTATTCACTTCGGTCGTGTGTACCTACTGACACATACACGTAGGTATAAATCATGTATTGAATCAATATTAGACCCATAAGTATTTAGAAAAATAGTACCTAGGACCTTAGTCCTGGTAACCAAAAAGCATATTATTATAACAAAATAATATAAATAATACATTATATAGACTATAGTTGTTGATGTAACTATGTAGGTGAGGGTAGTGAAGTATTCACTTCAATAATATTTATAAGTACGTGTACATTTCACCCGTGTTGACGGTAATAGGTATATTCATATTTTAAATATCGATAAACAAAATAATGGTTTTATTAATATTACATAGACACATAGTACATACATATTTGATGCATAGATACATAGCCTATAAACACATAGTTTACATACCATACAGGGCTACGCAGTACGCATTATCAACATTTTTGTGTGTAGATACATTATAGTTTACTATGGTATCTGCATAATATAGCACGAGGAGTTGTGAGCTCTCTTAACATACAAAATGTCCTCTTCATAATATGACACCAATACATCTGAAAATATGCACTGTTAATTTGTCATTCAAATCCCACAAATCTTGATTTTCATCTAAAGAATTCTATATTCAGGCATAATTAGGTACCTACTGACTACCTACTCATTAGGTAGTGTAAATACTACAAATTACAATCAAATCTAGTACACTACACTGCAACCAGTTGTTCTTTCATTTTGTTTATTTATTTAAGCTAGTCAAAAACAATGGAATCAGAATTATTGGATATTGGATAATTGAATTTTGATAAAACAATTTAAAATTTTAAAATTTTAATGGTAAATATGCCGCGTCATGCTTCCCCCCCCCCCCAGACCCCCAGATATTGTGCTATTATTTTAACACTCAAGACAAGAAAACCAAACATAAAATAAACTCTTACAAACACAGACAGGACAATCTACATTGTTTTTAAAAACAGAAACAAAACAAAACCAAACTCTATGTGGACCCGGCATATTAAACATTTTTTATGGTTTTTATTATTATTATTTTAAAACATTTAAAATTCGTACTTTTAATTAAAAATAATCAAAATGTTATAATATTATTATAATAAACTACAAGAACTAAAAACACGTAGGTACCTTATAGGTACTGATGAGAAATAATACTGTACACGCTTTTAATTAAAAATGATCAACAAATAGTATGCTGTACAATAAAACTATGAAGGAATATCTATGATTTTCGAGATAAAGTCAGCAATAAAATATAATACCTTCATCATTTTCAAGATAAAGCAAATACTTTTGTTAATATACCTTTATTATTGAATATAGACTAATAGGCATTAGGCAATTACAGGGGTCAGTAATTAAATTTTATGGTGGTCTAGATAATTTGAAAAAAAATGTTCAGAGAGAGTAAAAAAAAACCTAAACATTAGTTCATTTACCATAATTAAAGTATTTATATTTTGTATTGAAAACACAGTTTAAAATAAATTATTTAATAAGTTTTTAAGTAATCAGTATACATCCATACTAAAAATAACACAATTACTTAAAGATTTAATAAGATTTATTTTATATGATATTTCTTGTCATGAACCAATGTTTTAAAAATTGGTACTCTTGGAGAATACCTAAAAGCACATAGGCAGTGTTTTCAGAGACGATATCAGTTGATTTTGTCCGAAATTACATTTTTTAAATAACATCATTTTGGAGAACGAAGTTTCACATGTTAAGGACGTTTCATGATTCATACTATGTCCTATACAATTTTAATAATTTATCTATTTATAAAGTTTGTACAGGAATATTAACCAAACATAATCAACCTCATTTATTCAAATTCAGATTTTTAGAACTTTTAGATACATAATCAAAGGCAGAAAGCACATATTTTCAAATTCGTTAATTTGTTTGTACTCCAGAGTGTCGGATACAAACTTTTGTTCCTCAAATGAGAACCTACCCTTTTACTGTAAATTATTTTGTGGTGAAAAATTTTTTTTATTATGTTTATGTTTCTAATACAAAATTCGAATGAGTAGTTTCCCTGCAGTTATTAAATTGTTTATACATTTTACTAAGGATAACAATCCTTCAAAATGGTTTTAAAAAAAATATAAAATTCATGTCATAAATCATAATGTAATATTGAATCTAGTATTTATTATACTTACCTAGACCATTTTTACAAATTAAAAATGTTAATGGATTATTAATTATTAACATTTTCAAACCACCATAGTGTCATTCGCATTACCTACCACCATATCTTCCTCTTCCAAACCCCCTATCACGGAACTAATATCCTATTCCTACACAACGTTTAATAATAAAAATTAGTCTTTTGAATTTTAATTCTGATCATTCGAAACACAAAAGTGTATACCTATCTCCTTGATCCTTAAGTTGTACAAATCTCAAGAATTTTAAAATTTGTTCTTCAAAGTTGAAGTCAGATTTTGATAACCGCAATTAGTAGAGTATTTAGGATTTTTTCTCGTAGGGATATGAAGACTTTAATGAACATATTCAGTTAGTTAATGATATATACATTGTATAAACATTTTGGTAGGTATACTTTTTCAAAAATTTAAAAAAAATCGATGATCAATACATAAAATAATTCAGATGAAATATAATCCTGTTATACAGTCAAAAACTCAAGTTTGTATATAATTATAAATATTTTAGTAAATAGGCCTACACAGTCACACAGAAACAATAATTAATAATAATACAAAATAATAAATAGTCAATAAATATAGGTACAATAATTTAGATAAAATATAGTTTTGTTCTATAGTCATTATTTTTCATTTCCTTGTGAAATAGTTGGTCGTTCAGAAGCTGTTTTAAATTGTAGCTGAGTATAATATGTCTGTTGATGTTTTGCTCCGATCTTTAACTGTCAATGGACAAATTAATTGGTGTGGGGAATACTGTACCTATATGTCTTAGAATTAATATTTTTAAACACTACGGAAATC